AAGTAAATCAGCGCTAGACTGGGAAAAAAAATTACATAAAGATGTTGCTCATTAACAAACTGACGTTACGCCATCGTGCTCTGTCTACTTTGCTCCAAGAAAAGGAGCTTTTTGTTATGTAGCCCAGAACCTCTGCCAGAATTTTAATATTGGTTTCCTCTCCTCATGCATATAGAAAAGCAGTCACAGGAATGAAAAGTGTTTACCAACCATATGTGAAATGTAGGCTTCCTCGATACGTGTACTAGTAAAGAACATTTCATTTTTTTGATGCATCGCCAAGGGGCCAATGCTCGTGAAATCAATTCTGTACGAGTGTGAAATGGCAGCTGACATGACAGTCTGTGAGAGAGAGTCTGTCATGTCCCCAGAGATAATGTGTGACCTTCAAACAAACAGGAAGAGAACGGGGAGCTAGCAATTTGTACATTTCATTTGTCCATCATCTCCGGTGGAAGGCAGTGATGCTGCAGTGTGGCCTGTAACAAATACCATACCATCCTGTGTGTATATGTGTGTATATATGTATGTGCGTGTGTGCACGCAGGAGAAAGTGGGAGTGTGGCTCAGCATGATAGATGTGGTCCCTGGAGAGTCTTAACATTAAACATGGATGAAGAATACTGTAGAATTGACTGAAGTCCTAACTTAAAACATCTGTCTTATATACTTTGCACTTGAGCAGCTGAATTTCATTAATTTAATTAATGCCTTGACGCCAGTACAGTATGAAATGAAACACATTAATATGCACAGAAGTTGTATTTACTCATACGTCAGTGAACCCTGAACAGTCTTAGCCTGCGGTGCACAAGAAGCTGTGTGTCAACCAACTTAAATGATAAGATGTGACAGAAAACGGTGAACACATTGTATAGTGTTGTGGTAAAGGTTAGCGGGAAAGGAAATTCTTTCAATCAAGATAAGCACATGGAGCATCTTTCACTTTCTAAATTAAACCACCATTAATTTAAAAAGTTAATTGATAGAACAACAATATCAATACAAGTGTCTAAGCACATTTTTGGGATGGACAGTAGTTAGTCAATCACCATGTAAGGTTGGTTACCTCAAAATACACCCATTTGCTGCCAATAATTACATGTGAAGATCAATACCACACCTGTGTCTGTAAGACGGTACTCAGTAATAGTATTACTTTTCCCAGTAACAAGCAGTGAAAGGGATTACTATTTCCAAAACAGTAATAATATTACAGTTACTAATCCAAGTAACACTGCGTCACTCCGTTACTGGAACGCACCATCCTTGACGTGAACGCGACTGCGCAGCTGGTCAGCGGCATCGGACCTTATGTTGTTCAAGTCAGCTGTTAGCCAGGAAGCTAAAGGAAGAATGGAGAACGAGGGAGAAAGGTGTTCTTTCCACAGCTGGAACAATTGTCATAATTGTGTCACAGTCTAAGATGCAAAGAAGATTGTCATCTGTTGTAAACTTTGTGCGACCAGCAAAATCTTTCAACTGCAGACAATTCTACATCTGATCCTGAAGCATCTTCTGACGTGAAACTCATAGAAAGAAACTCCGGCCGCCACTGCTAGTAATGATGCACTTGTCGGAAGAGAGTAGCAATAAGCCACTTTTGTAAAAGCACTAAAAACATACTCCTGACTGCTGTTATGAGTTATGATAAGTTAAAAAGTCGGGGGAGACTGCTTTGTATGGGGGGGTAGGTACTGAAAGTAATATAGTAATGTAACGTAACTAGTTACTTTTATCACCCAGTAATAAGTAAAGTAATATTATTACTTACAGGTAATAAGTTATTAGAAACTTATTACAATGTCTGAGTAACTTGCCCAGCACTGTTAATTAGTGAGCATTAGAGGTGCTGGTAGGCAGGTTTTGTTACCTTCTGACAGAGCCAAGCTAGCTGTTTCCCCATTTCCAGTCTTTGTGCTAAGCTAACCAGCTGCTGGCTGTAGTTTCATATTTACCATGCACACCATATTTACCTTTAAAGAGTATGTTTAAAAATACTGACATGTATGAGGACTTGCACCACCTCTACTTTTTTGTATTCTTTTTTTATCTCTTGCACTATACATGATTCTATACAGCTGTGGCTGTGCGTCTCTCTAAAATGTATCCGCTGTGAATAAATCAGTAAGCACACTCACTAATACTTGTAATTTTTGTAACAGCTCAGCTATTGGTTTAATATCTCCATCACAGTCATTTTTATACATCACTCCTAACCTATCTAGTCTGGTTTCATGGTATAGCATCATAAAATTCAGCATGAAATACAATGTGATGAGTCTGTTATGAAGTATCAAAAGCAGGAATGGTGATTTATTTAATTTATTTTTTGACACCTAAATCTCATTCATTTCAAACGGGGGATTACTGTTGTCCCAATTTCTCCTGCCTTTTGTGTTTGCTATCACATCCCTCCAAATGTCTGTGGGAGGCTTTCCACCTATCCAGTAAGATGAAGTTGACTCGAGAAATGTTCAAATATATTATCACCTCCAACCATGCTATTCTCTCTGGTGGGGGAAATGAGAGAGGAGAAGCAGAGGAAAACCTGTGCAGCGTTTTGAAGCTTTCTATGGCTACAGCCGTCCTTTCAGTCACATAACAAAGGAAGAGACGATGTCCTTGCACTATATGTCTGCCGTTAATATAGCCAGACTCAACCACACCTGATAGTAGCTTAGAATAGTGCAATAATGCACTTTGTAACCGGGAAAGACAGGTTTTAAAAAAACAGTATTGTTTGTCTTTTCTTAATGCGCAATTATTGTACTGTAAAAATATTCTTTCATCAATGTATTTTTCCTACTATGTTTCGTGTGTGCTTGTTTGTTTATGCTCTGTAGGTATGTTTTGTGTTTCCGTGTCTGGATGACACATAGCATATTAGAACAGAGCTGCAGTAAGTTAAAGGATGTGTAGAAAATTAGTATTAGACAAATTGCTAGAGATAAACACAAGGACTGCAGCAGTATTTGTCTGTTGAGTTTCTGTTTCCGCTCCAACGGGAATTTGGCTGACCACTGGGCTGCTGGTCAGATTGTTGTTGGCTTACGGATCAGCTGATTGTATTTTGTTGGTGATCCGAACGGGAGCTTTTTTCCCTCGTCACATCTCCATCACTATTATACAACGTTTATGAGCCGGTGACAATGTCTGACAAATGGGCTTCCATTTGAGCTGCTGAAGAGCTTTTCAGCGTTCACTGGCTGTTTTGTTGGAAAATCAAACACAAAAGTTACAGAGTAAATAAATATAAACTGGTAACTGAGCTGCAACGTTGCAATTGGGGTCATTGTTCAGTGTAAATTAAGGTTTCCACTGATTGCCTTCAAATCTGTAGGTGTGTTTCTGAAATCCTAGTTCACTCTTTGGCCCAATTGTTATTTATCTTGTGTCGTTATGCACAAAAACTGGTTGCTACCACTTTGTATGGGCCGAGCAAGGTCACATAATGAATCTTCAAACATTTACATTTTTCTAGATGTGAGGGACATTTCTTTTTTTCTTTTTTTTTTACATTTTACAGCTGTTATTGTGCAGCAAAGCTAAATGAATACAAATACCTTACCTAGAAGGAGGATTTTCACACTCCTCAAGCAGAGTGAGCATTGTGCACTATGCTGTTAATCTATTTCTGTCGGTTACTTAGCCAGTACCTGTCTCAACCTTCAACACCGAACTGCAGTGTTGAAGGTTGTAGTTGGTACTAGAAGTAGTGACAGAACAATGTGAACAGTGACCTTGGTTCCTCTGCTGTTCTCCTCGGCCGAAACAGTGTAGCAGAATGTAACAAAACACAAGGACCTCCTGATTCACCTGGCTGCCAAGAGATTTGTACTCATTCAGG